CCTGGCCCTTGCCGCCTCCGCCGCCGGCGTTGGCGGGGGCGGGGACGCTCAGAACAGCAGTAGCAGCATTGTGAGCGAGCTGAACCCCTGCGAACACCACAAACTCATGAGAGACGGTTATTTATTTATTTACGTTAAAAACAGTTAAAAACTGTGTGTGACGTGCTATGGGGAGAAGTGAATTTGAAGTTACATTTATGTTCAGAAGCAAAACAAGGGGCCATCCCAGCATTTGCTCGAGGATCAGGGAAACTGGACGAAAACCTGATCGAGATGGGGGCCATTGACCCAGAAGCTGAAGTACAATACTTGTTACAGGTTCTTTACAATTACACAATCCAAATGGTATATAACACTTTAAATCTGATTGTTAAAATTAACATGACACTCTTTTTGGATGCTCGGTATAGTAACAGTACAGCAGAAAATTGGTACTTAGGATCGTTATCACGCGGGTCCGTAGCTTGTTTGTTAGGGTAATGATTTTGCAAATATCAAAAATCACGGATTTTAACAAAAATGAGACCTGCGCCATTCTTTATGCTATCCGAAGACAAAAATTTTAATACATAAATTTTGAGTTATTTTTGAGAAAATGTTGAGGCTTCATGTAAAGTTCCCCCAAATTAAAAATATTCGTTTCAAACTCGATTGGGGAGCCTGCTTAGGTGGCTCAGGGCATCAATTATATGCACCACACATGCAGGGAAACCAGTCGGGAGTTTAGAGCTTGTCCATGCTGGGACGGTGCACCGCTGGTAGTATACCTGTTTAGTGAGAAACCCCGCACGTCGACCGGTCTCGCCATCCAGCGGGGAAGATCTCCGTCACCTTCCACATTAAAAGCATGCACTACAGTTATGGGACTAAAGACCCTAGCAGTTTACGCACCCGGAATTTACAATCAATCGATCGATCAGGGAAAATCAATTTCAGAGAAAATCGTCTTGGGAACGGCAGTTCTGACAGACAGACGTTTTGTAGTCAATTGATTTTTAGCTGTAAAGGAGCTACAAATCATAAATTGTAACTACACATGTTAGAGAAAGTACTTTACTACATAATCAACCAGATTTATTCCCTTTTTCGTTACCAGAAAAAGCCAACCAAAAGCCAAAACCAGCCCGACGAGTGTTTTCTGTCAAAATTTTGCCGTTTACTGACGCACGATTACCATATTTTCTCTTCTTACGAAGGCGAAAATGTAAAATCGTTTTGAATGGGGTCGGGATGACGACGTCTGGTTTACTCGACGACTGACACTCGCAAAAAACCATTTTTCACGATGACGTCATGCTTCTTATGACTGAAGAGACACGCAAACTTCACGGATGCGTGGCGGTACATAAAACCTCTCATGTTTATACAATCGTAGGAAAAAGCGATGCACGGTGATGTACGTCACAAACCTGCTGCTAATTAAAATAATGCGTGATACACGCCGCGGGACGACTTACGTATTTTCAATCTGGCACCTCCCTGCTCCTGGCTATTTTAACACGACAACCACTAATGGGTAATAATTTTCTCGTTTCCAAATGAAGATAAGTGGCATAAAATATTCTTACAACCGTAAATACGGTAATAGAGGCAAAAGATTCGTGGGATTTGGTAATGAGATTGTGGTGCTAATGATTTGTTTGCCGATGTTTGGAAACTTAGTAATGTAGTATAATATTTAGTAATATAGTAATATTTACTAATATATATAGTAATATATAGTAATTTGTAGTAATATATTTTAGTAACATATTTTAGTAATTTATAGTTATTAATAAAGTTATAATAATATTTAATACTTTAGTAAGATATAGCAATATTTAGTAATTTACTAATGTAATATTTAGATGGATTGTTTGAAATATTTATGCGTTGTTATAACAATTTTATTTGGGGGGCGCCGGTTTTGAAGGGGTAGGTTTCGCCGACCCTTCGGTGATAACGAATAAAGGGACCGCAGCATGTACAACGCCGGGGCCGGCAGCGGGAAGACGATTGCCTTCCCACGCTCCACCGCTAGCTGAACACAGCGTTAACTGGTTATTTAAAGCTGTGTTCTGCTAGCGGTAACGCATGCGCTCTCCTGCGCTGCTCGTGGCGAGGGTCCGCCGACTCACGCTGCTTCAACGCGAACCCGCCGCACGAGGGAAGATCTCCATCCAAAGCAATGCTCCTCTACGAGCCGCTACCCTTCTCACGTCGCCACAGGAGCGCGCATCCGAAAGTCGTGGCTCGTAGAGGAGTATTGGTTTAAATGGAGATCTTCCCACGTACGGCGGGCTTGCGCCGCTGCGGCGTTCGGAGCAGGTCTCATGCTACGCGAAGCGCAGGAGGGCGTACGCGCCACCGCTTGCAGAACACAGCTTCAAATAATGGTATTCCTTCTGCGCCGCCGATCGTGGCGTTTTGCGAGCTGTGATCCCTTTGTTTCTTCGTAGCCGGGGGGCCGGGAAAACCTACCCCTGCAGAACCCACCCCCTTCCACGGCGGACGGCGGTTCGGCGGTTGCGTGCAGCGGTGGCGGCGTCGGAAGAGCAATGCCGCTTACCGGAAGCGCGCCGCCGTGGCGACTTGCGAAGGCACCCTTAAAGCTGTGTTCTGCTAGCGGTGGCACGTCTGCCCTCCTGCGCTTCTCGTAGCGAGAGTCCTGCTCTGAACGCCGCAGCGGCGCAAACCCGCCACACGTGGAAAGATCTCCATTTAAACCAATGCTTTGCTACGAGCCAGGACTTTCGGATGCGCGCTCCTGTGGCGACGTGAGAGGGGGCCCTTAGGGTCGCGGCTCATAGCAGAGCATTGGTTTAAATGGAGATCTTCCCACGTGCTCTGCTATGAGCCGCGGTGTTCGGAGGCGCGTCGCTGTGGCGACGTGTGGAGGCGCCCTAAGGAACGCTAATGTGCCTCTAGGCCGGCATTGCATTGTGTGGCCTGGCAACCGGTTGCCCGCCGCCGTGAGGCTCGACCCCCCCCTTTCACTCTCGCTTTCTTCGGCGGCGTGTGCGAGACGGCCGGACGGGGCCGCCTCCTCCGCACGCCAGGGCTCACCAACCTTCCCAAGAGCACGGCCGTCTTATGACGCGGCACAGGCAGAAAGTACCTCAAAAAACAACAATTTAATGGAAAAACTATCGGAGAAACGAGTGGAGTGTTCGTTTTGTTGACGATCTTTGGATATTTACTGTTACAATTTGTAGCAGATGCAGCAAATATTGCAAATTTTTCGGCATATTCCAGTCCGGCGAGGGCCGGACAGAAATTTCTTGAGGGTCATAAAAGATTGAAATTGCCGCTGACGAGTGGACGAGATCCGGGCTAAAGGGTGCTTGGTCAGACACCTTCCCGCGGAACTTCTGAGGAAGATCCGTTGTGAGCCAAGCCATGAGTGTCCACCCCACATAAGTATAGTGGCGTTGCAGGTGGCTGGGAAACACTGGTAACTGTCTGAGGCGGCGGACGTCTACGACACAGGGATACAAATATCAATCCCACAGCGTGACAAATCTCTCAGTTCTGATGGTGATTATGTAACAAATTTTGCAATACGTGCTGTATCTGCTACAATAAAATTTTGGTATGTAAACTTTTGTTTCGTTGGTGA